TTCATTTCTGCTTACTTTAAAATCGTATTTCTGAGACACATCATCTAGGAATCCGAAAATCATAGGCTGTTAAATATATGTGAGAGCATTATTGATAACCTGAACTAGTATTTGATGACGAAAACAACTTAGTGCAAAGAGATTTGGCTTAGGAGTTTTGTAAACAATTGAATCTGATCATTCCTGCATGCTTAGGTTGTTAGGATTTGCAAAGAGATTTGAGACTCTGTAATTAGGCATAGATAACTTCCGCAATGAGAATTGATTAGTTATACATCAGTGATTCATGTTTAAAACGGTTCTTAATTATTCCTGATTTCATGCATTCTATATTTTTGGATTCAACCTGCGAACTCTCCTGACTTAGCGCTTTTAGTCTTCTGAAACTTAGATCATCTTCCCAAAATCGTTTGCTTACTTTGATTCATTCATTCGCATTACATACATTATATTCTGCTTAGCTTATTCCAAATCTACATTCGATAGTGTAGTCTGCATTACTCCTTTGGGATTTGATACCCCTTGTACTACAACTGCTTTTGCTGTGCAGTTGCAGTAGTTTTATTTTGGTAAACCTGAGCCCTATCACACTTGTAGTAGTTTTATCTGAGTAAATCCTGAGCCCTATCAAATAGTCAGGTTCCCTGGAGAATAGTTAGATTGGGTCCTACCCTAGCTGGGGCATGCATCCCAAAAGACTACATGCTTGCCTAGGATAGGAGGATGTTAGGTTCCCGAAAGAACTGTTGGTCGGCCACGAGTGAGCATCTTCCCAGAGGAAGTTTACTCCTTGCTTCGTGAGGCACTAGACAAGGTGCCATATTCCTTCCTCTTTGGTTTTATGAGAAATTTATAGCCTTATGTGACCACGGGGATCGACACAAGGCAATAATGCAGTTTTTAGACACCTACCCAAGAACCATTTGATGGCACCTTGAGGGGATGGCCGGAAGGTCCCCATGCACGCGTTGCTAACACGAGGGGGGACCGTTACTTTTGTGCAGCATATGCAAGCTAGCGGGTGGCAAAGCAGGGCGTTTCCCAGAGGCGTTCCCCAACTCCCTAACTCCTTGGATAGTCTTCTCGTCGTACTTACCCGAAAAGTTTCATGGTTTTAGAATCATGATAGGAAGGGATTTGATTTAAGAAGAGAGAACCCTAAAGAAGGGGGTGACCCCAATTCCTCAAAGGTTCCCCGGAAGGCAAGCGCATCCCAAGAAGGAGCACACTCAAGGGTCGCGTGGTCCAAGGGAGGGGCTGGCAAGGAAGACCCGAGGGTCTGCGAGACCAGAGTCCTAATTCCTGGAGGAATTATTCCCCGGAAGGCTGATGCATCCCCGTAAGGAGCACATCAATTAATTGCACAGTCACTAGAAGGAGCTGGCAAGTGGACCCAGGGGTCTGCGGGACGGGAGTCCAGAATTCCTGGAGGAATGATGTCCCAAATGGCGGATACGTCCATGGAAGGAGTACACTACAGAACTATGCGGTCCCCGGGAGAAGCTGGCAGAAGGATCCAGAGGTCTGCAGGACCGGAATCTATAATTTCCAGAGGAATGATGCCCCAAAAGGCAAGCGAGTCCACGATGAAGCAAGCTGAAAGAAATTAGAATCAGGGGTTTTAATGGAAAACAATTTTTCTGAATGATGCTCTCGGACGATAAGATGGATACAAGTGATATAATCAAGAAGATAACAAACAAACAAGGGAGAGTAAGGCGGAGGCCGCAAGGGTCCAGAAAATCAATTGACAGAGCAAGCGTGATACAGGGAATTCAAACAGTCAATGATAAAGCAAGCATGCATGCACGAAAGTAAGTATGCAATCACACAAACACGGAATCACTCAAGTAGGAAAGAGATTTGTTAGGGTTTGCAAAGAGATTTGAAACTCTGTGAATTAGACATAGATAACTTCTGCAATGAGAACGGATTAGTTATACCTTTGCGATTTATGTTCAAGGCGGTTTTAATTCATTCCTGATTGCATGCATTCTACACTCTCGGATTCAACCTGCGAATTATCCTGACTTAGCGCCTTTAGCTTTCTGAACTTTAAGAACAATCATAAAAAAGCTCCTTTGCATTTATTTAACTTTTTCGCATTACATTCATTTATTATCGCTTAGCTTAATCCGAATCTATAATCGCTAGTGTAGTTTACATACTCCCTTGGGATTCGGTAACCCCTTATACTACGACTACTTTGATGTGCACTTGCAGTAGTTTTTATTTATGTTTAGGGGTTACTAACATGAGTTCACGCTCAAACCGGAAATCATGCAAACATGGAATCATGGAATCACGCAAGTATGAAACACGGAACAATGCAAGTATACAAATGCTCAATGAGGTGACAACATGCTTGTCTGCGTGAACAAGCAACGACGGATAGGCTCGGTGACACATGGCGGGTATCCCATCGCCTGCTGCATGGAAAGTTACGTTGCAATGTTGTCCTTATTTCTCGTAAACTAGCGCTTCTTTTCTTCCTAAAGTTGGGAACGGTCGCATCAATAGTCCCATTAAATGGATGTTGCATATGTGCACGGTTTGAAACGAAGTTAATTGCAAACTCATCCCTATGCTTTTATCATTTTTCGCCATTGGCCCGAGACTTGCAATCGACCCCTCATCTCAATTTCCCGAAGGTGCCTCCAAACTGAAATGTGTCACGTCTGGCTCCCAAGGCAAGAACAGCCGCAAACACTCTCGCCGAATGAAGCGCGTGCCGCTTCTCGGGGAGAATACTTCTTAGCGGCCCTTTCTTCGCTAGACTCCGCGTACTCGCCTTCCTGATGGGTCTGCGACCTCAGTTGGGGGAGCAGCAGCGTCCTGGCACGACGATCATACCATTCTCCGCGATTGGTCTGTGATGTACTTTCAGGACTCCTTTATGTGGGCGCATGAATGCGAGGAAAGAGCCCTGAAGGAAGTGTGATGGCTGCATCCGACGGTGAACTCTCGGGGCTCCTCGGGCAATGCCACTATGTGCCAAGAAATAGCCCATTTCAGGAAAGAAGTCCTGATATATATGATTTTTTCACTTTTCCAATAAATACGGCTAGCCACAAATACATTTGTTTTTTTTGTTTTAATGCTTTTATTTCTTTCACTTCTTTAAGTTTTGAAATCCGCCGTTGTTATTTATTTTTAAAAGTTTTTCCTTCCTCTTTCTTTAGGTATATCTTATTTTCTTTTTCGAACTCGCCCTAAATCGTTTATCCAAAATTCATCATTTATAACCTCTTTCTCCTTTGATCTTGGGTCTTCTTTTATACCATATCTTCTTCGTCCTGTCCAATCTATGCGGCGTGTTACGGAAACAGACGGCCAAATACAGTATATCTGACTCGGTAAACATGCCATCTATTTAAGAATAGTCCACTAAAAATTGATGACAGGCTTAATAAAAGAAAATTAGCACTCTAATGGACCCAATAGTTACGTATCGTTTTGGTATTAATCATTGTAAAAATAGACAATAATCATACACACGAATTAAAAACTTACTGCATGTATTGATGCATACGTGACGTTGCCCTTTACAAAATTTGCAAACCACTAAATTTGGACCCGCTTTATTTGGTTACGGTCATTTCTTTTTTTTTATAACGACGAACAAACACAGGCACGTGATAATCTTGGAAGATTGATGTGGAATGTTTCAATAAATTCCATACGTTCAAACCAGTAAAATTAAAATATCATATGAATTGATCGAAAAGAAATAAAAAACGTTGGAAAACAAAGGGTGAAAATGAATATGAGTTTTTTGTCCTAAGAAAGTTGGTTTATCGCGTATTTTATCAATCTCTTGAGCTTTTATGATGACAAAAATAGAAGGAAATGGGTCTTTTATTTTTATTTCTTTTGTTCCTTTGATTGATTAGTTTTTCTCTTCACAAAAACGACGCACTAGTTGTAAACAAGGTTTTTTTGGGTTTGAATTAATTTTATATTCAATTCAAAAAAAAAACTAGAAGGAAATAGTTTGGTTTTAGTGAAAACGGAAATGACAAAGTATTTTAGTCTATATGGTTCGATCGACACCAGATTGAAAGACGGGGTTTGACGAGATTCCAACACGCTGATATATTGACACCTACTTTTGTTGTCGTTTACATAGATGTGCCAGTTCCAAGGTGTATGGGCATAAAACGATTATTTGTAGAGCTAATATCTATTTCATGTTTAAAGACTCTTCTGTTTATATATTTTTAATAACAATGTTTTAGATTTTTTGTGACACTCACATTACAAAGGAAAAAAAGTATATTACATTATTTAAAAAGTATTAATAAAATAATTGATTTTATTTAAAATCACTTATTAAAAATTTGACATTAAATATAAAATTTCACATCAGTTTTTAATTGATATTATTCTTAACTTGATTAATATCAATTAAAAATAATTGATACTAATACTAACTTGATTAACATTAACTAAAAAACTGATAAAAATTACTATTAATTTATTTCACTTTTAAAAACTAACACAAATATATAAGTTTACATCAATTATATAAATAAAGCATTTGATCAACCGGCATTAGTATCAATCTTTCAGTTATAAAATTAATGCAAATAAAATTTTAACTAAACAACTATATTTTCCACACTGAAATTATAACTAAAGAACTGTTTTCTTATTTATAAAAGAAAAAAAAATAGAAGGAAATAGTTTGGTTTTAGACTTTAGTGAAAGACAAAGTATTTTAGTCTATATGGTCCGATCTACACCAGATTGAAAGACGGGGTTTGACGAGATTCCAACGCGATGATATATTGACACCTACTTTTGTTGTCGTTTACATAGATGTGCCAGTTCCAAGGTGTATGGGCGTAAAACGATTATTTGTAGAGCTCATATCTATTTCATGTTTTTTTTCTTTTTTTTGGTATGAATGTTAAGATTTATACCTTTTCTGAATGAACAATGTCGTTGTTGAACAACTTATTACAACCGAGGAGAGAACGACAGAAATTATAGGGAAACTAGGAGACAGAAATTACACACCAGCAGCCGAACAATGAAAAAACAACACAAGAAGAAGGCGAGTTTTCAGTGGTGCCTGGGAGGGAGAGGAGACGATCCCTCATGATCCTGTCAACAGCGGAACAGATAACGGCAGCTGCGGAGCGGTTGGCGCTAAAGATTCTTCCGTTGCGCTCCTTCCAGAGACTATTGATGATTACCTGAAACAAGAGCCGGGCAACTGCTCCCCTCCTCGATCGCTGCAGGGTAGGATCAGAGTTTATGGAGGCAGTTATAGAGGTGCTTTTTGAAGGTTGAACAAAGCCAAACGTTGAGGTGAAATGGTTCCAGACTTCGGAGGAGTAAGAGCACTCAAAGAAAAGATGGTTGTGAGTTTCTTGTGCCCCTGCACACAGAACACAATCGGCTTGGACATTCATTCCCCAGCGTCGGAGCCTGTCACGTGTTGGTAATTTCTCCAGCATTACCAACCAGGGGATAAAGGAGCAACGCGGAATAGCTTCTCTGAACCATATTACAGAGCTCCAAGGAACCATAGCGGAGTGCTCACGCAGAAAATTCCAAGTGGCCTCAGATGAGAAATCTTCGACAAACATACCCACCCTATTACGCATAAGGTAGCAATCTGGTCCTCTAGATGCAAGAGGCAGTGTGAAAGTTGACAGAACGACCTGCTTTGTCAGATCAAGCAGCAAGCAAATTCCAGCTACCATCCCTTGTAGCCTGCTGGACAGTAGCGTGAAGCGGAATTCTCAGTTGGTGAGGACCCCCAACCCCGAAGACAGAGATCAATGGCCCCAAAGATGTCCAATGGTCATACCAAAACGAAGCGGTGTTTCCGTTCCCAATTGAGCATCATAAAAGGTCTTGAAGGAGAGGTTTTAACTTCAGCATGCTTCTAATAGCCCGCGAGTGCCTAGAAGCAACCCACAGGGATCCAGCGCTAGTTAACAGTTGCCAGATCTGCTTTAGCCGGAAGACTTTGTCAAAGTCTGCAAGTAGCCTGATACCTAATCCTCCTTCTGATTTAGGTTTACACAAGTCTCGCCAAGCCACACGTGCACCCCTGGCGGACCCTGTTTTGTTTTTCCAAAGGAAAGCAGAGCATAAAGAGTCGATTTTCTCATAAAACATCTTTGGTAGAGTGAAAACTAATTTCCAGAAATTCACCATGCCGTAGATCACCAAAGACATCAATCTTATCTTTCCGGCAAAAGAGAGACTTTTGACTGTCCAAGAGTGTAACTTGCTAGTTATCTTCTCCACAAAAGGCTGAAGAGAAGACATCGTGATTCGGTTAGGGTTCAGGGGAAGTCCAAGATACCTTGTCGGAAATGTATCTATTTTAAACCCAGATATGCCACTTAAAACCGCCACCTGAGTCTCATCATAGCCGCTGAAGAAAATTTCTGTCTTAGAGGGATTCATGTCAAGTCCTGAGATGTCCCTAAAATAAGCCATGATCTCTTTGATTCCAGATAAAGAGTGCCTTAAGCCATCTGAAAAAACTAGAAGGTCATCGGCAAACAGCAGATGTGTTATCCGCGGGCCTGAGCAGTAAGGGTGTAGTTTTAATTTCCCTTGATCAACTCCCTTCTCAAACAGCTTGGAGAGGACTTCCATAACCATTATGAACAGATACGGAGAGATGGAGTCTCCTTGCCGCAGCCCTTTTTTCCGGGGAATAATCCAGCTAGCTCCCCATTAATAGCTATTGAGAATCGTGGAGATGAGATGCATTCTTTAATCCAAACCCTGAAAAGTGGCGGAAACCCCTGAGCCTCTAGCAGTTTCAGAACAAAGTCCCGGAAACCCCTGAGCCTCTAGCAGTTTCAGAACAAAGTCCCAACTGACGGTGTCAAAAGCTTTCCTTATATCAACCTTAAGCATGCAGCTTTTCGGACATGAACTCTTATGGTAGTTACGAACAAGCTACGAAGATAACAACACATTCTCACCCAAGCTACGACCCTTCAAGAAGGCTGCCTGATTCGGACTAATATAATCTAGCAATACTGGCTTCAGTATATTTGCTATGATTTTAGAAATCACCTTGTAGACAATGTTGCAGCAACTGATCGGCCTATAGTCACCAAGTGTACAAGCTTCTGGCTTTTTTGGAATTAGTGTTATCGCAGTAGCATTTAGGTCTTTAAGCAGCCGTCCATTGCGAAAGAACTCTTGTACTGCAGCGATGACGTCTGCTCCTACAATGCTCCAGGAGGCATGAAGGAATTCGACAGAGTAGCCATCCGGGTCCGGGCTTTTATTCAGGGGCATACAGAATACTGTTGATTTAACCTCCACCGCCGAAGCTTCTTTATTCAGTGCCCGACAATGTGTTTCAGAGCAGCGAAATGAGAGAAGTTCCTGCAGTTCTGAAGTAGAGATGGGAGATGTTAGCATAGCTGTTGATCCCGATGATACCTTTGAAGTAGTCTGCCGAATGCTCCTTAATCTCCTCAGATGAAGAGTAGACTAAGTCGTCACTGTCTTTCAGGAAGTGAATATGATTCCTTGAGGCCCTTTGATTCACTGTTTTATGGTAAAAGGCTGTATCATGGTCACCCTCATTCAGCCACCTTACCCTTGATTTCTGTCGATAAAACTTTCCTTCCGTTTTCAAGAGTGTTTGCCATTTCGCCCGTTCCTGATGCTCTTGTCTAGCAGTTGCAGGGTCTGGACTTGTTAGGAGCGATCGCTGAAGCTCTGTTAGTTTAAGAGCCTGCTCCTTGACTCTTGCCGAGATCCCACTGAAGTTCCGCTTGTTTAAACGCCTAAGCATATGTTTCAGAAATTTCATTGCTCTGGCAAGTTTAAACTGGGCTGATCCAGTAATTTGATTTGCTGTCCAGGCTTCCGAGATGGTGTCCTGATACTGAGGTAAATCAACAACATGGTGAAAGAACTTGAACGGCTTTCATCTTTTAGGAGTTGCAAAGGAAACCCGAAACAGGCACGCAGCATGGTCCGATTGTTGGGGCTCGAGAAATTCTGAGTAAGCATCCGCTAAAGTGCATGATCAATCTTCTTGGAGGTCGGGTTGCCATCCTGGTTATTCCACCATGTAAACGCAAGTCCTTTAGCTTGCGCTTCAACGAGATCCGCATCTTGCAGCGCTAGAATGAATTCATCAATTCCTGAGGTGTCAACATCTGCAGCAGGATGTCTAGAATGTTGAGAGACCCTTAGGATCTGATTAAAGTTGCCCACCACTGCCCAGGGATGCGTAGAGAGTGGTGTTGTGGCATTTAAGTTGCTCAATTCTTCCCACAAGGAAAGGCGCTCCTCAACCGTGTTGAATGCATACACAAATGTAACGGTGAAAGTTACCTTCTCCAATGGTATATAGAAACCACAGGTGACTGCCTGAGCCGAGACCTGATAAAATGTAGCCATTATTGTTGGATCCCAGACCACCACAATTCGAGCAGTGTTATGGTGATCGAAGTTGCCAAAAAACTTCCAGCCTGCAGGTATTGCCCGCAAGATCCTTCCCGCATTTATTGGTAGAATGTGCGTTTCTAAGTACGCTCCAAAAAGTGGTCTATGGATACTAATCCAATCTTTAGTCATAGCGTGGCGTGTATTGCTATTTAGCCCTCTTAAATTCCACCCAAAAAACATATATAAGATATTAATGATTTATTGCGGCCTTGCGGCCACCCCTCCGGCGAGAAACCAAAGTGAACAGAGCTTCAACCTCTTTCTCTCCGTCACCCTTAGTTGAGGATCTTGCTTCTGCTTCGACCCTCGGCAGAACCACTGCCTCAGCTAATATCTCATTCAGTTCTCGATTTCCGTCTAACACGACAAACTGTTCTTGAGATTTAGCCTCCTCTTCGGATTCCTTTAATCCCAAGGACATACTTTGTTTGGCAGGCAGAACCTCGTCATCACGTGTACAGCCGGGAGCGGGATCTGTACCAAAATCCTTTGGAAGGAGAGACTTAGAATGAGATGAGGAGTTCTTAGGCGCCTTGATCTCGATCTTCTCTTGCTTTCGTTATTGAGATCCTCCGACTTTCCAGGACTTGGCGATCATATCGGCTTCCCATCCCTTTGCGAATGCTTTACTGCCTTTTCATCCTTTGAGTGACATCTTATCATTTCATGGCCAAACTTTCCACAGAGATCACACTTAAGGGGAAGCTAAGGATAGGAAACACTAATTTGAACCTCTCTGCCATTTGAGAAACCCGATATCACTTTGGATGGTAGAGTCTTGGTGAGGTTAACCCGAACGAACACCTTAGCAACCTCAAAATTTTCCTTTCTCTCAGTTTCAGGCGCAAGGAACTCGGGCTTACCCACTGCTGTTGCTATTCTGCTTAAGCTCTGCTTGTTACACAACAGATACGACACATTCCAGAATTCAACTGGCACAACTGCAGATGATAACGAAAGCTGTTCTGGGTTGAATTCAGGAGACCAAGGAGCCATAAATATCGGAAAGCCAGTAATGTTCCACACGTTTCTGGCTAGAATGTAATCTCTTGTTTGGCTGTTGTTCACCCGGAGGAGATAAGTTCCTGCGCCTATATGGTGGACGAATATTCTTGGTCCTGTGCGAGCCCAGATAGCGTTTACCACGCCAATAATTCTTCTCATAGATGGAGTATCACCATGGAAACGGGCAAAGATGAAGTCTTTAAATTCATCCTTTGCAACTTCGAGGTTCTTGTCTGGGATAAGCACAATTGGAACGCCGGTGGCGTGTTCAGTTGGAGTACCAAGTTCCTCTAGCTTGGATGAGTCTACGACAAGCGTTGACAATTTCTTAGGGGCTTCGACTACACCCACCGGGTGGGAGTCCACCTCGGCCATAGATCTGGAGGTTCGACCGGTCCTGGAGCAGGTGACAATTTTGCAGTTATTTCCAAAGCTCTCGTAGGAGAAAGACTCAGATCTGTGCACGGCACAAAGTTCAAAGGAATATCTGCAGACAGATCTGGTATCACTGCAACGTCCGTAGGCGGAGGATGGTTGATCTGAGAGGACTGCGAATCTTCAATTGCAGCCCCGACAGGGGCGGATCCACCGGCAAAGACGCTGGAGAGAGCGGCGGAACTGTTTTTAGCAACAGCGGCTAGGGTTGTGACTGCTGATGCGCGGGAGAATTTAGACAAAGAGTAGGTGCGCCCTTTTTTCTTGTTCACCATAACTGGTTTTCTCGTCCACCGGCGTGAGGCCGATCGACGGTGATACTATTGTTCGAGAGAAACTGTCGCAATTATAACTTTGTTATTAAAATTTTATATGTTTTAACTTTTTATCTATTTTTTTTTTAGAGACTCTTCTGTTTATATATTTTCAACAACAATGTTTTAGATTTTTTGTGACACTCACATTACAAAGAAAAAAAAGTATATTACATTATTTAAAAAGTATTAATAAAATAATTGATTTTATTTAAAATCACTTATTAAAAATTTGACATTAAATATAAAATTTCACATCAGTTTTTAATTGATATTATTCTTAACTTGATTAATATCAATTAAAAATAATTGATACTAATACTAACTTGATTAACATCAATTAAAAAACTGATAAAAATCATTATTAATTTATATCATTTTTAAAAACTAATACAAATATATAAGTTTACATCAATTATATAAACGAAGCATTTGATCAACTGACATTAGCATCAATAATAATTGACGCTAATATTTCTTTCAGTTATAAAATTAATGCAAATAAAATTTTAATTAAACAACTATTTTTTTCACATTACTAAAAGAAATTTTAACTAAACAACTGTTTCCTTATTTATAAAAGAAATTCATCAACACCGAACTTTTTCTTTTGTTAAATCATATGCATATATTTACATATATTTCTTAGATTAATAACTATAAAATGATTAATTATATTAAATTTAAAATATTTTTAAAAAATAATACAATTTTTAAAATCAAAATTAATATCCCTGATTTATAATTTACATAATAATACTATCAACTAAAATATATGATATAAGAATATGTAACATCATTCATTATAACTGATAGTCAATAGTCAATATTTCAATAGAGTATCATTTATTCTAAGTGATGTAAATATTAATATTATTTATTTTAACTGAGTTAAATAATAATATTACTTATTGTAAATGATATATATTAATATTATTTAATATAAGTGTTGAAAATAGTTGCATCAATCAATATATTGATATAAATAATTAGCATCATCATTTTCAGAGTCATTTTTTTTAATCAATACTTTCAGAGTCATTTAATTATATGATGTAACTAAATTTGCATGAATCAAAAAATTATATTAACAAATAAACTAAATGAAATAACACACGTGATTTATTGTAGACGTTTCCTACGTTATAACGACATTCTAGTTTTGTTGATCTTATCTCCTCTTAGCACGTAAAAGCGAGATGAATTACGTAACACTTACTTCCACTAAATCCCTAATACACATATGCACTTCCATTGAAATAATTACATCTCCAAGAAATAAGAAGAAACATAAGTTATTCATCACACAAAGTGGAATAGTGGAAAATTGTTTGCTAGATATATAGCTTAAAAAGAAATATGAAAAGCTTATGGTTGTTTACATAACACCTTTAGCGGAATAGCTCACTAACTTGAGGTTCTATCTGGAGTTTTATTTAAATGTAAATTTGCATATGTTACGAGATTGTGGAGAGAAAGCTCGATATATGTTTTATTGAATGAAGAAAAAATCAAAGTGAAAAAAGAGAGAAAACAAAAAAAAATATTTTCCAAGAAAATCTTAACTAATAATTCCACAACATACTTTCTTGGAAAAGTGGGTCGAATAGTACTGAATCATCTCCATACGTAAAATCTTCTTCGGTAGATTCTAACCATGGGGGCATCCATTCCAACCCTTCTAACGAGTCGAACAACGTGAAATCATTCTTTAACTCGTTCTGTAGAGATGGCAACTCCACGATTTCTCCTAGCTCCTCAGAGAGCGTAGAGGACGAGGATGACGCCTTTTCGCTCGTCCCAGTCTCACACCCAGTTTGCAACGGCGTAGTCGGCGTTTTGAAATCCATAAATGCGGCTTTGGTGGCTGCGGCTTGTATGTCGTGCGGGCTGAGCGAAATAGGTCGTGGCAGAGAATCTGAGAGCTCAGGGAAGTTTAGGATTGCTGAGTTTCCTTTGATACTCAATGCGGCAACATCGTGCGCTCGTGCTGCCATCTCTGCCATGGGGAAAGTCCCAAGCCAGATTCTTGATTTCTTGCGAGGCTCCCGAATCTCCGAGACCCACTTCCCCCAGCTCCTCATACGTGCCCCACGATACACCACTTTGGAGATTTCTTTTTTCTTCTTGGCAGAGGAACATTCCGTGTCCAAACCATGAGACTTCACCATTCTTCTTTATCTCTCTCTCTCTCTCTCTCTCTCTCTCTCTCTCTCTCTCTCTCTCTCTCTCTCTCTCTCTCTCTCTCTCTTTGATGTCAAAATGTTCGATGAATTGTGTGCCAAAGAGTACAATAAGAATTAGTGGTCAGGGGAAAGGGATTGGGTGTCGGTGTAATAAAAGAAAGAAAGACATTTTTGTTATGTTTCTTCTTTCCAATTACTTCAAATGCTATATAGAGTTAGTGCGTGTGTGTGGGCTCGCATAAGAGAGGTAGGGTGGGGGTATTGCTTACGATTCCTAATGTTTGTGATTATATGAACCTTGACATCTGTGTACAACCCAAAAAACTTAACATCCGTGTATAAAGTTGATCGTACCAAATCTTAACATCTAGGTACATCTTTGAATGTATATATCTGCATTCATAGTTATCTTATCATGTGTGTATACATAAGTTACCAAAACTAGGATATAGTTGGCAGTACCAAAATAGAAACCTACAATTACAGCTACAAGTTTACTGTCGCTAACTCAAATAATATTTTTTTATTTTATTTCACGGAGTGGTGACGCATTAATTTTGTACAGTCCATTCTAATCCGTCACTAATTTATAGCAATGAAAAACTCTATAGTTCATTTGTTTTTTTTTCTCATGGTTAGGAGTTCTGGGCCACACGATTTGTAATGAATCGTTCGCATAGCTAGGCTCGGAACCATAACAAATAATATGGATCCGTCTTAAGTATCATTACTAGACTTTGGCCATTGATATTATTCTAGTCGATCTTGGTAATTGTTTTTGTAATGCTATATATATATATATATATATCATTGCAACTTATAGACTCTGGCCATTGATATTATTAGGTATTTACCTGCGCTATGCTGCGAGATATTTTTCTAAATTTTGTATATATTTTTAATATAATAAAATTATTTTTATAATCTAAATGAGTATTGTATTTATTTTTTATTAGCTTAAGTTATGTATTTATATGATTTAAATCTGAATAAATATTATATATATATATAT